GCTTCCCCGTCCTGTTAAAATGGGCTGCAGAGATTTCAGGAACTGCTGGAGCTGGGCTTCCCAGCGCTCCTGCATCCCGTGACAGGTCTCCCTTTGGCAATGTTGTGATGCTCCCCATCCCAGACGTTCCTTCTTATGCTGGCGATGAATTGCACTGGGGTTTTTTTCTGTTCCTTTTGGCTCCCGATCTGTCCCTGCAGCTCTTGGCTCATTCATTGCTTTCTCAGCTGATCGTACCTTCCAAATTCAGAATTAAGACTTTCAGATCACATTATATGTAAAAGGCCTAAAAAAGATTTTCACCAACAACAGGAAATATTCCTGATGTTTTCTATTCAGATATTACAACCTTTTTTTATAAAGATGTAAAAGAAGAAAGAGGGAATTCTTTTAAAAATGGGGTTAAAAAAAGCTTTTTAATCATACCATTCAATTTTTTGGGGTCTCTCTCTCTTTCTGTGAGTCCAAAAAAGGAAGGGAGGCTGTAAGACTTACCCTTGACTGAAAAAGTTCTGTGTCAAATCTTTGCACAAAGGAGGCAGGAGTCTTCAATCAAACCACCTCTGCAAAAGCAAAGAACAAATATACAGGCAGTCCTCACCTTATGACCACAGCTGAGCCCAAAATGTATGTTGCTAAGTGAGAAATTAGTTAAGTCCATTTTGCCCCATTGATAACTTTGCTCGCCACATTTGTTAAGTGAATCCCTGCAGTTCTTAAATTAGTAACACGGCTGTTAAGTGAATATTTTTTCTCCTATTGATTTTGCTTGTCGGAAGTTTCCAAAAAGTCGATCGCATGATCCATGGGTCACCGCAAACCGTCATAAATGTAAGTCAACTTTCAAACATCTGAACATAGATCACATGACTGTGGGGATGCTGCAACAGTCATAAGTGTGAAAAATGGTTATAGGTCACTTTTTTCCAGTGCCATTGTAACTTCAAATGGTCACTAAATGAATGGTTATAAGTTGAGGACTATCTGTATTTATTGATGGTTTTATGTATTTACTTCTTTCAGTGACCAAATCTGTACCCATCCCACCCCAGGAATTCCAGGCACAGAAAATGCAAAAAGAACATTCAATTTCATTCAGAGAGAGGTTGATCCATCCCCCCGCAGATGGCCAATCTGGATATTGATTGCTGTGGGGGCTCAAAAGAGGAGGACACACACACACACACACACACACAC